CACTTACTTCATCTGCCCTTTTGCCTGTTTTCATCTTGAATTTTTGTTTTTCAGTTCTGATAAACACCTTGTTTCAAAACAAGCAAAGGAAAGAGTAACTGGGAATCTGGGAAGTGTACTGTTAATTGAAAAGCTGGAAAAAGATCAAGCGTATTTAATTTATGAAGTCTTCCCCCTCAAAGAAATAGCTGTATGACATAGAACAGAAATAGGTATAAATCTGGTCAACTGCCTGTTTTTGTATGGCTCACAAGCTATAACTAGTTTTTACCTTTATGAATTTTTTTTAAAGAAGATTTTGTTACACATGCGAATTATATGAGGTTCAGATTTCAGTGTCAATAAGTTAAGTTTTATTGGAACACAGCCTTTCTCGTTCATGTATTGTCTGTGGCTGCTTTTGTGGTACAATGTCACACTATTCAGTAGTTGTGACAGACTTATGGCCCACCAAACCTAAAATGTTTATTTTCTCACCTTTCACAGGAAAAGTTTGCCAAATCCTGACATAGAATTATTGATGAGGAATAGTACTGGTCAAAAAGAACATAATACCCTGAATGTGTATGCTTTTAAGAAAAATTCAAAAATTGACATTGGACCTACTGTTGCCCCATAGAAAGAGCTGTTAGACCCAGGTAGAAGTGTGTTTTTGAGACAATTCCTAGCTATCCTATCTTTCCCCACTCAAACTGTCCTTGAACATCCTTACAACATGACGTGTTTCACTTTTATTCCAGGAAAGAGGAAGGAAACGATTGTCCTTTTTACATGTCGGTACTTAAGTATTTTAATAATTCGTTGGCTAATTCATTTCTTTGTGTGTGTATGGTAATGCATTTGAATCTGAGTCAGACTCTTAGATTGTGTAAGACATGTTTCTGGCATTTCCTTGAAGAGGAAATTTTTAAACTTCATAATAAAGTTGCATTAATAAATGGAATGTAAAAATTACTCCATGTGATTTCCAGTGCATAGGACCAAGTTCAGTAGACCTTAACATAAATCAGCTGACATGGGATCATTAACACCATACAGTGCTCTGAAATTATGCTTTATTATCATCTTGAAAAGAATATTTTACTGCTTTTCTGGAAGCTAACCACACAAAAATTACTTACAATTGGTTTTTATCATTTGTTTCATGTTTTTTGTTTGTTTTCTTTTGTCTGCTCCCAAAAAAGTCTTTTGCTTTATTACTTTTGGACTCCTGGAGGAATACTTTATATCTACTTTACAGATTTTTGTAAACATTAGAAGTAATGTATATAAGGAACTAGGGCTTGTGGCTGACATGTAATAAACATTCAATAAATGGTTTTTTTAAATAGTAGTAAAAGATACCTCCAGAATAAGATAAACTTAAGAATTATGTAATTTCATCTTTTCAGCAAAATTAGTATACATAAGAAGGATTATGGAAACTTTGCAAAAAGTATATTCAATGCAGTGGAGTTTCTAATTGAGAAAATTGGGCACAACCAAAATGTTCCATCATATGAGACAATGGAATATTATTCAGTATTATTATTATTTAGACTCTACCATTTAGCCTGTAAGTGTAGATGACTAAGTGTTCGTTCATGGCCTGGTGGAATTTAAACCTCACCTGAGGAATGTGATTTATGTACATTTTTGAGCTATAAGCAAGTGGGAAAGAATTTTGAGAGTTGAAAATAGGATAGTTTTATTTTAAAGGCACTAGAATAATGTGAAATGACACCATTTCCCCAGTGTATACATTCTGATTATTTCTAACTGAGCATTTTAAATATGAGAGGCCAGACCCAGTTTTTAGAATATCCACTTAATTAATTGTTCCTCTTGATTGGTAATTCCGTATACTCCTCTGAGCTTCTCAAAAACATAATGTGGCAATGGAAACTAAGCACAAAAAAAAAAAAAGAAAGAAAGAAAAACTGGACTAGGCTTTCTGGCTTTTTCTCATGTAGATCACAATTCAATAATTTAGTAAATCAATATATAAATGAACTTCTTGAGGGCCTGTGAATGTCTAAGCCTAGTCTGGAAGGAGGGAGACATGAAGTGAGGGGAAAATTAAGTAGTTTAAGAGGCCTTATCAAAAAGGATAAATGCTACCTAGTTTCCCATTTACATTGTGAAAATTTGAACAGTGGAGTAAAATAGGGGGAATTACACAAGACTGCCATCCATATTTGTTGTGCACTGCCTCAACCCTACAAAGCCGGTCTAATTATACTTACAGGTGAAGAAACTAAGGTTCAAAGAGGTAAAGGTCACACAATTAAGAAGTAACAGAATTTAAATGGAAACTTAGATGCTCCCTATTCCCAGGAAATCCCAATCTCATAAGGGATATAAATGCACAATAAACTAAAGTATTAGGCAAAATACAAGTGCCATAGGAGAAGTTAATAAAGTGCTATCAAGATTCAGGGGATGGAAAAACACATCTACCTGGAAAGCTTAGTAAGATTTTATCTTATTCCAGCTGTATGCTGGTTACTGTGCTAGACATTAAGAATATAAAGATGAATAATAAACATCCCTGCCCTCAGAGAGTTTATAGTCCAGTATATTCGGGACCCAGCTATGAGAGACTTGGGGTAGTACAGGGGTATTTTAGAAAGCTGTGAGGTAAGTCTTTGTGGCCAGTCGGCTCCTTGTTTGGAATTCGTTTCACTTTGGAAACCTAGGCCTGAATCTGAAAAAGAGCCTTGAGACTATCCTTTTCTATAAATAGACATAGCTGGAATTAAGAGGACTTCCTCTGTAGGAATGTCAGATTTCACTCTTAGAAATCCTACCTTGCTTTCCCAGTTTGAATGTCACCTTAAGAAAGTGCTGCAAACGCAAACTCCTTTTATGAGGATCTTTTTTTAAATTCAGAGGCAAAGGGCAGGGTGAATCAATTTAGAACATGGGCTTTGGAGTAAGATGACCTATGTTTCATCCCAGGTCCTCCATTGCCTGACATTGGGAAAGTTGTGTTGCTTTGTTTACCTCATTTGTAAAATGGAATTAAAAATACTTTAGAGGGCTTTGTAAGCAGTAAATTAGATACACATCTAAAGTAACTTAGCCCAGTGCACTTGGTGTATGACGAACCACCTAAAAATAGCCACTGTGATTATTATCAGTTATCGTAATAATACCTGATCTAGGCTTCTCCACAGCACCACTGTGGCCTTGCTTAGAATATTCTCTCAGTGAATGTGGTATACCCTCAAAATTATAACTTAGAAACCTCCAGAATTAACTTAGATCGCTTTTATTTAAGTATACATAGGGATGTTTACCTCACAGTGTGACACAGGATCAGAAGACTGTGAAGTCACAGATAACCAAAATACTCTGTATCTCTGGTTTTTCATCCTGTGTTTTGGAGCAGTTGACCTGTGTCTCTCTTTTTCCCGTGCTCCCAGCCTTAGTTCTGCTTATTTCTTGGCCTCCTGTTTATTCAAACCCAGTCTCCCTGCTATCTTTGCCCCACCTTCTAAGCAGTGATATGTGCCTGGCATATCTCTTCCCTTCTTGCCAATCTCCCATTATTAAAACAATTCCTGGAAATAGAGCAGAAGTCTTCTGTGGTTGATAAGAAAAATGATAGTATCTCTTGGCCTATTCAGTCCCTCTATGCTTCACAAAAAAAAAGATAAGCAAACGAAAAAGGAGGAAGACACTGGATACCGGAAGTGAAGGGAATTTCCCAGGATGACAGTGAAAGGCAATCGCAGCGAGAGCTGGGTGCACCAGCTGAGAGAGTGAGTCCAGCCAGACAGGGCTCCAAGAGAGACTCTTTGTCGGAAGATGGAATTCATAGAGTACCTGACCCTTCTGAAAGATGTAGACAATTGATGAAAAGTTCGAGGTTAAATTAGTAAGTACATTGAAAACTAAACAAAGGGAAAATACAAGGCCTTGATTCCAGAAAAAGAAAAAAAGTTGTATATGCAAGGAAAACTGTACTTCGTGACATGGCCTAGCTTTGAATTGCATTTCTATATTCATGATAATATAAAATTTGATATTAACCTAACCAAAATTATGCAATTGGAAGGATGGGTAAAGAAAGAGCTCATAAATTACGGTGTGTATACCTAGTGAAATATTTTATAGGTGTCATTTTTAAAAAGAGGATCTAAATGAGTTTATCGCATATCATATGGTCTTCACCTTTAAGTACCCTGTACCCTTGGCTTAAATGCCCCTTTCCTTCCTTCCCCTTTCTTCTCATTGGTGTCTTCTTGAAACACTACATCCCACGAGAAGGCCCTCTGACAACTACCACCGTCACCTGCCTGCTTCATCCCACTCTACTCTCGCCTCCATCCCAGCTGTGTGAGTTACGCCATCCTGTGTGTTCGTAATATTCTGCCCAGATACTCTATATCTGCACTTACCATATACTATTATAATCTATTTACCTTCCCCTTTAAGCTTTAACCTTCCTGATAGCTACGAGTGGTTCGTTCTTACTTTTATGATTTCCGTGCAAAGTACAGGGCATATTCAATATTAGGTACTTAGTAAGTGATTGCCGGAAAAGGAAAAGAATAATGTGGCCCTGGCCAGTGTGGCTTAGTTGGTTGGAGTGCTGTCCTGTGCACCAAAAGTCGGGATTCGATTTCCGGTCAGGGCACATACCTAGGTTGCAGGCTTAACCCCGAGTCGGGTGTATATGGGAGGCAACTCATCAGTGTTTTTGTCTCACCGTGATGTTCCTCCCTGTCTGTCTTTCTTCACCCTCCCCCTTTCTTTTTCTTTAACATTAATAAACATATTTTTTAATTAAAAAGAATGAAAGAATAATGTGAAAAATACCTGTGTTTTGTTAAGTGGATTAGGGACACTAGCACCTACACTTAAGGTTGTTATGTGGATTAGATGGGAAAATTCATGTAAAACATCTAGTATAACAAATGCCAAGCATAGGTGTTCAGTGAATAATAAGGATAAAGATGGTGGTGATTGTGCTAGTAACAATGATAAGAGCTGTGTATTTTTTGTTTTCACAGAGAGCTCCTTTACAGGCCTTGGAGTTTGTGGATGGCTTTTGGTGTTTGTCTCATTATTGTTCACACTCATAACTTTTCCAATATCGATATGGCTGTGCATAAAGGTAAAGAATATTTCATTCACCTCTGGAAAGGGGTCAACTCCTAGCTACATAAACCCACTTTGTGTATGCATGTGTGCAAGAGAGAGAGATCACAGAGGCCTATAATTCTTTTTCTTCCATCTTTCCTTTGGAAAATTCACTCTAGTCACCTATTACAATGGAATCTTAAAAGTTCTTTTCAGCCAGTTTAGTCGGTCCTTCCTGAGGCTTAAATAAGATCCGCATTGAACGTTTTTGGCGTTGGGAATATGGGGTGGTCCTGTGAGAAGCTCTCCAGAGTCAGGGTGCTGAGGTTTGACTGCTGGCTCCATTGTTTGAGGTGTGACCTTTGCCGCTTTTTCTCACTTGTAAAATGGGCCATTGGGAGGATTAAATGACTTACTGTGTTTAAACAGACTTATCGTAATGCTTGCCACATGGAAAGTGCTTCCCAAATGCTGGTTATTTTTCTGTACAGTTATTAATACTTTGATAAATGGCTGTCATTTATCTATTCCTAGAAAGATAAGTGTGCTACAAGAATTATTATAATTTTAGAAATCAGGAGACAAACTAGGAGACCTTTAGCTTTTTATTTTCTGTATTAACAATGCACAAGTAATTGAGTAATAATGTTAATAGCTGAGGAGTGAGGTTATAGATTTGCTTCTGTATATTTTTCTATACTTTCCAAGTTTTATACAATGAATAGCTATTGTTTTTATAACTAGTTAAAAAAAGGAAATAAATATCATACCTGGTGGGGGTATTAATCATTAGACCTATTATTTGTAGATATAATCTGGATTATAGAGAAGAAAATAGAGGCATGTAACCTCTTTAGAGCAGAAACATATATTTAAAAAGCTATGCATATAAATACTTGTACTCATATTAAACTTTTATTTGTGTTTTTAATCTAGATCATAAAAGAATATGAAAGAGCCATCATCTTTAGATTGGGTCGCATTTTACAAGGAGGAGCCAAAGGACCTGGTCAGTATTGGGATTCTAGATCGTTTGCCTGGAAACTGAAATTCTTCCTTTCATTGATGTGATTTCCCTTATGAGGTTCTCTTCTTTGTTGACTTAGAAAGGAGTTTTTCGTATAACAGAAGTTGTATAACAATAGCAGGGGTGCTAGCCAGTCTTGCTATAACCACTCTTTCCTTCCTTCTTTTCCCCTCCCCTTCCCATTAGAGCTGATAAGATTGTCATAGGCCAGGAATAGCTACAGCGGAAGCTTAAGCATGAGAATCCCTACTTAAACAAAGGCTTTGAGGCCTGGCTGCTGTGACGCAGTGGACTGAGTGCCAGCATGTAAACTGAAAGGTTGCTGGTTTGATGCTGGTCAGGGCACATGCCTGGGTTGTGGCCAGGTCCCCAGTTGGAGGCATGGGAGAGGCTGATGTATCTCTTGCACATCGATGTTTCTCTGCCTCTCTTTCTTCCTCCCTTCCCATCTCTCCAAAAATAAATAAAATCTTTTAAAAAATAAAATAAAATAAAGTAAAGGCTTTGAGTTGTTTTTTGGCAAACTTCAGTTAAGCTCCTTCTGTTTTCCAGGCTCTGGGAATTCAACTGGAGACTCTAACACAGTGGTCCCCAGCCTTTTTGGCACCAGGGACTGGTTTTGTGGAAGATAATTTTTCCATGGACCGGGGATTGTTTCGGGATGATTTTGGGGGTGGTTTCAAGCACATTACACTTAGGCTCACCTCCTGCTGCATGACCCAGTTCCTAACAGGCCCGGACCGATACCGGTTCGCAGCCCAGAGTTTGGGGACCCCTGTTTTAACACAATTCCTGCCCTTAAGGATCTTACTGTCTAGTGGTGGGACACCAACAAGGAAACAGATAGTTACAGTTCTGTGTGGAGTATTATGATCCAAGTAACCTTGGAAACCCAGAGAAGAGTGACTGATCCAACCTTGTCAAATGAGACAAGGCTTTCTGGAGGTGGCAACTTCGCTGAGTCTTGAGGCACAAAAAGGTACTAGGGGAGGTACTCCTGCCAGAAATAGCAACGTGTGCAGAGCAGTAAAGAGGAGAGTATTTCAGATTCAAGGAACTGCAGGTTGCTCAGCCCAGCCAGAGTGCCCAGCGTGGGGAGAGGGGAGCGGCAGAAGAGGTAAGCTGGCGCAGGCCGTGCAGAACCTTGTACGGCTTGGTCCGGAGTTTGCATTCAGGGAAGATCACTCTGCTTGCAGCTTAGAAAACAGATTGGAGAAGAGACACTAGAAGAAACAGATGACTTGGGAAGCATAGGTCTAAGTGAAAACAGAGCGACAGTCACAGTGGAGTAAGGAAATGAAATTCACAGGCCTTAGAGAGGACAATTAAGGACAGAAAGTAAGCAAGAGGAGTAAAGGATAATATTCCTAGCTTCTGGCTCATTTACTGATATAAATGGATGGCTTACAGTTGATTAGGTTGATGCTATTAGAATTGAATGGAAGGTAAACTGATTAGGTGCCGGTATCTCCCTATAATCTTCTGTGGATCTTTATTGCAGGTTTGTTTTTTATTCTGCCATGCACTGACAACTTCATCAAAGTGGACATGCGAACTATTTCATTTGATATTCCTCCTCAGGAGGTAAGGTGGTCTTTTGCTGTGAATAACTGAGGCAGCATGTGGGAGGGTGCTTGACGGTGAGAGGCAGCGGAGTGCAGGGGTTAGAGCATCGGTTTAGGGCCTGTCTGTGTTCACCACTTTCTAGCTGTGTGACCTTGAGCAAGGTATTTAATTTCTCTCAGCCTCAGTTTCATAATCTATAAAATAGAGATTATAATAAAAGACCTACTCTATAGGGTTCTTGAGAGAACTAAGTGAGTTATGTGTAAGATACTTCAAACAGTGGCTGATAGTTAAGTGCTTGTTTTTATAAAATGTGGTATAATGTTAATGTAATAGTAATGTTAGCATTATTGTCATTTTTACTACCACGTTTCTTCTCTCTGGGTTTTCTGACAGAAAATCCTGTTTAGTATGGTACTCTTCTTCCTAAAGGTCTTGACTTTATTCTAGATAAATTGGCTAAAAGCCAGAGAATTAGAAACTGCTTATTTGGCCTTTTAGATAAAGTACATAATGTTTTAGATTAGTAATTATTTCCTGCTTTTTCAAACTACTTCACAAATACTATCACAGTTGAAACAGCAGAACCCCTACCTAGAAAGCGTATAGCTGCTCTGAGACCACGGAACCCCTCCAGACTGCAGTGGCTGACGCCGGACGACGGCCCAGCTCCTTGGATTCCGGGTCCGGTGCTTTTTGCACAACTCCATGCTACGTGCATTCTGTATTAGCTCCCTCATGGCCCTTGAAGTAAAGAGGGCCACGCTGGTACTGATGTCTACGGAGGCCTAATAATACTGCAGACAGAAGGCCTAAAAACATAATGAAGGGAGGGACAGAAAAATACTGCCAGTGTTTCCTGGCCAAAAGCCAGGTATCTACCAGGGTCGTGGAGCCTGGCCATGTTGCCTTCTCTTGTCACAGAAAGCCAGAAACCAGCCTTGGAACTTCCTTGCTACTACTGAGCCAGTTAGTTGGTGAGGTCAGACCTCATCATCTGCACATAGGCAGTGAAACCAGAAATTACTTTTACCCTGAAGAGCAAGATGGAGAGCATTGCTATATCCCCTGCATGTCTTTCCATCTTTCAGGAAAGGCTGACCCTCAGAAGGAGCTCCTTTCAGAGTAGCTAGGAACTCTGGCGTGTCCCTCTATAGCGCTGCAGGCATCTGGCAGGGTCGCTGCCTGCTTCTGCCTTCCAGCTGCCCTCCGCTTTCTTGCCAGCTGTGGAATGCAGAGCGCATTGGGACTTGGCAAGCAGTCCTTTTTCCGATCCCCTGGTAGCCTGCTGTGAAGAGAGATAAACATGCAGCCTAGGATAAACAGCGGGCAGAGAGGCGGCAGCATTAGAAAGCTCCAGCTGCGGCCAAGTCACAGTGTCAAGAATTTGTTTAAAAATGATATGCATTTTTCCCATCACCTCATGGGAAAGAATTAATTTTCACAGAAGATGGTAATATACTATACATTTATTTATGAATCTTCCACCTCTCTTTCAAATTAGAATTATATATTTAGAATTATATTTCAAGTTAGAATATATATAAAAAATGGATTACTGCTTTGATGCCTGGCAGGACTAAACAGTTGTGTCATATATAATTGGCATTACTATTTTCTGTTTACGTAGCTCTTAATACTTTCCAGAGAGCTTTGTTCACAAAGGTTTTCTTATTTGATCTTCAAAGAAATCTTTGTAGAATTGGGCAGTCTTATTAGCCCCGTCTCACAAGTAAGGACTCTCTAGGTCAGTTTTAATTTTTTTAATCCTCACCCAAGGATATATTTATTGATTTTTAGAGAGAGAGGAAGGGAGAAAGATAGAGAAACATCAATGTGAGAGAGAAACATCAATCAGTTGCCTCCCATACAGGCCCTGACCAGGGACTGAACCCACAACCTAGGTGTGTGCCCTGACTGAGAATTGAACCTGCGATCTTTCAGTTTGTGGGACGATGTTCCAACCAACTGAGCCAGAGTGGCCAGGGCTAGGTCAAACGGTTTAAAAGCTAGAGGTCACCGAGGGAGGTATAGGCAGAGTTGAAACTGCAGGTCTCTGAACTCTCACTCCCGTGTTCCTCATTAATCACTGTGTTCCCAGGACCACATTTCAATTTAATTCATCTGTCATTGATTGACAACTTGCTATGTATCAAGCATTGTGCTAGTGATAGAGATACAGGACAAATGCCCGCAAGAAATTCATAGTCTAATAGAGAAATAATGATGTAAATCAATAAAGTCACTGCAGTGAGGTGCAAACGGAAGGGCATACTGTGCCATGTGAGTCAGGGAGGTTTCACAGGGAAAAGGATGCTGGAGCTGTGTCTTGAATGCTGCGTAGGAACGTGCCAGTCTGATGTTATGAGGGAGAGCGAGAGAGAGGGCAGGACATCCGTAGAGAGGAGACATCTGCATAAAGGCCAGGGGACATGGAACACGATGCATACAGAGGTCTACACCTCATCTAGTGTGCTGTGGGGAGGAGTGGGGCCAGAGGGCCCAATGTCAGAGGGCTGGGTATCAAAGGACTTGTACCAAACTAAGGGCTTTGTCCTGTGGGCGGTAGGAGGAACTGGCACCTTATGTCCTATGAAGCGTTTTTAATGTAGCATGCTGTAAAGATATTTTTACCCTGAACTTGCCCTATAAAAACATTTCCCATTCACATTTTGTCCTAGTAACACTCTACTAATAAATCTAGTAACACTTAGAAACCTAGCCTCTCCCATACACATTGCTTTCTCTGCCTTGAATACTTTCACTACACCCTCCACCCTTCAAAAATTTTTATTCCTTCCTTCAAGACTCAGTTCAAGAATCACCCCTGCCACCCACAGTTGCTCATTTTTTGTTCCTTAAAGCCTCCCTTAATTCCTCAACCTCTTTAAAAGTAGAAACCGAGATTCTTCATACCTTTATCCCTGGTACCAAGTACAGTGCCTGCTATGGAGTGGTGTCTCATTTATTGAATGATTGAATGAAGTAATGGAATTAATGTGTAAATGAATATTTTATTGAAGGCTTTCAGATGCTTTATGGTCTAGTCCATCTGATCTGCTATAACATAGACTGGTTGGCTTATAAACAACAAAAATTTATTTCTCATGGCTCTGGAGGATGGGAAGTCCAAGATTAAGGCATTGGTATGTTCAGTGTCTGACGAGGGACGAAGGTCTGCTTCCTGGTTCATAAATGACCGTCTTTACTGTGTCATCAGGTGGCGGAAGGGTGAGGGAGCTCTCCGAGGTTTCTCTGATAAGAGTATTAGGTTTCAACATAGGAATATTGGGGGAACACTTTCGGTCAACAGCACTTGCTAAAGAAAACCAGCTAGTATTATAAGATGTTCTGTAGAATAACATTCCTTACAGTTCTGTTAAAGAAAGAGCTGGTGGACAGATGTAAAATTGCATTCTTTGTATTGTAGATCCTCACTAAGGATTCCGTGACAATTAGTGTGGATGGTGTGGTCTATTACCGTGTCCAGAATGCAACCCTGGCCGTGGCAAACATCACCAATGCCGACTCAGCAACCCGCCTGTTGGCACAAACTACTCTGAGGAATGTCCTGGGCACCAAGAACCTTTCTGAGATCCTCTCTGACAGAGAAGAAATTGCTCACAACATGCAGGTGAGGCGTGCCCTGGTGCTGCTTTCAGTTTCTTTCAGTTTCTAGTGAAAGAAACTGAAAGTTGAAGCAAAGACTCAATGGCTGTTTAAGAACTTACCAGTTGATTCCAACACTTGGCTATTGTAAATTGTGCTGCTATGAACATTGGGGTGCATAGGTTCTTTTGTATTGGCGTTTTGGTGTTCTCAGGGTATAGTCCCAGCAGGGGAATCGCTGGATCAAAAGGCAGTTCCATTTTCAGCTTTCTGAGGAAATTCCACACTGCTTTCCATAGTGGCTGCACCAGTCTGCATTCCCACCAACAGTGGACTAGAGTTCCCTTTTCTCCACAGCCTCGCCAGCACCTGTTGTTTGTGGATCTGTTTATGATGGCCATTCTGACCGGTGTGAGGTGGTACCTCATGGTGGTTTTGATCTGCATTTCTCTGATGGCTAGTGATGCTGAGCATCCTTTCAAATGCCTCTGGGCCCTCTGTATCTCCTCCTTAGAAAAGCATCTGCCCAGGTCCTTTGCCCATTTTTTGATTGGATCGTTTGTCTTCTTGGAGTAAAGTCGAGTGAGTTCTTTGTATATCTTGGAGATCAAACCTCTATCTGATGTATCATTAGCAAATATATATAATGCCCATCAGTAGATGACTGGATCAAAAAATTATGGTACATATACACAATGGAATACTACGCAGCAGAAAGAAAAAAAGAAGTACTAAACTTTGCGACAGCATGGATGGAACTGGAGAGCATCATGCTAAGCGAAATAAGCCAGGGGGCGAAAGACAAATACCATATGATCTCACCTATAAGCGGAACCTAACCAACAATGCAAAGAAGCAAGGAAAATATGACCAGCAACACTGAAAGGAAAAGAAATCAACAGAGACAAGAGGGAAGAGGGGGGCAGGGAAAGGGAAGGGAAGGGGAAAGTCAAGGAACATATAGCAAGGACTCATGGACAAAACCAAAGGGGAAGAGCTGAGGGAGGGAAGGTGGGAGGGGGCAAGGGAAAGAGGTGGGGGGAAGGCAGAGACAAATGTATTTAAAAAGTAAATAAATTAATTAAAAAAAAAAAAAAAAAGAACTTACCAGTTGAAGTTGGGGAACCACTGGCCTTTTTCCCTCGTCGAAAGGTTTTCCCAAACTTGATGGAAGGGGATGTTTTTCACACAAATAGTTCATGGGTAATAATACTCAGATGCATGTATTATTTTTTCCCCTCCAGTGTATATTTTTCCAGAATTAGTATTAACCTTTTCTTTAGCATAATAGTTCAGAGGCTGTTTGCATAGTGCAAGTGTTGTTAAAGTTGTGTTCTCTGCCTGAGTCCCATGACTTCCCTGGGAAGCATCACACTTTCCGATGTTGCTTGAGTAACAGATCATCCATTAAACCTGACCTGTTCAAGAGCACTATAAATCTGAACTCTTATCATTTGTTTGGACTTCACTGTGTGTAAAATCTCTGATCTTCTTTGATACTCACAATAACCATAGGAAATAAATAGTACCATTTCATTCCTACCATTGTAAAGGGAGAAAGTTGAAGCACAAAAGAGTAGTAACATGGCTTACACAGAGTCACATTAGCTTGGGAGTTGGCTGCCCACCTGTTTACTAAGGAAAGTTTTATTGGAATACAGCCATGCCCATCAGCTTATGTATTATCCATGGCTGCTTTTTATCTCCCATGGCAGGGTTAAATAGTTGCGGCAGACTGAAAACCAATACCTACTACCCGGCCTATGTAGAGAAAGCTTGCCCACATTAGCTTATTAGCGACTGAATCGGAGTCAGTGGGCCAGCGCCCCACCCACTCCAAGCCCCGTGTGCGCAGCAGCCTTAGGCCTCTGGCCAACCGAACATTTCAGCCTGCCTCCTCTCCTCCCATCAGACCACCCTGGATGATGCCACCGATGACTGGGGGATCAAGGTGGAGCGCGTGGAAATTAAGGACGTGAAACTGCCTGTGCAGCTCCAGAGGGCTATGGCTGCAGAAGCGGAAGCCTCCCGGGAGGCCCGAGCAAAGGTCAGCTTTTTTGTTTCTTTTTCCTATTGAATTTTATTTTTAAGTAACAAAAGTGAAAGATGTTTGTTATAAAAATTAGAAATAATCCTGAAGTATTTACTTAAGGCGAAAGCCCTCCCCATCACTTCAAATTGTATCTCCCCAGAGGTCACCACTCTTAACAGGTTAGCGTGTCTACTTCAGATTATCGCTTCCCATTTATTTGGGTTTTATTTGACTAGCTGGTTAGACTGTTGGCCTGTTTGTTTTACAGAAGTAGGTCACACTATACATATTGTTCTTCACCTTGCTTTTTTCACTCAACATTGCGTGGGAATATCAGTACATACAGAGTTACTTTATTCTTTTATTAACTGTATGTCCTGTGCCTTTTTCTCCCAATCCCCTATAAAGGACAAATGAACAGTTCTGACATCAGAGCAAATGCGCAGCCTCATCGATTTGCCTACCATTCATTCATTTCGTCTCCTTTCATTTTCTCTCTTTTCTCTGGATCATCTTTCTTCTTACTATTGCCTCTTCCTTTTCTCTTTCCTTTTTTAAAAAAATCATTCTTTCTTTCATGTCTGCTTTTTCTTTCCCCTCTTTATTCTCTTCATCACCCCTTCCTATGCCTTAACCCTGCATAGAGGCCCGACCCCTTTGAGAAGTGCTGACGGCTATAGTTGTTAACCTGACCTAGAAGAGAGGCTCTACTGAGGTGATACTGCATAAGGACACAGGGTTATCTCACCAAACCCAAGGTTAGGAAGTAGAGTCGTGCTTCATCGGAATTGGAGCCAACGACCTGAAAGGAGTCAAGACTGAAGGGAGCGAGGCATTTCATTTCCTGGGCCACATCTCACTGCAGGTGGTTTGAGGGGGAGACTGCCTGGCTCTAGTTGAACACTGAAGGAGACAGACCAGCCCTGATTCCAAATTCACAGCAGAGAGACTATCTTTGGCTCAACTCTGGTCAAAGGGTGAAGTCAGGTACTAACCAGGCCTCAGCGCCCCTTGCCTGGGAATGCCTGGAGGAGTAGGGCAGTTCGGTAGGAGAGGTTACTGTGGACTTGGCAGATCTCTGGGGACACAAGGAGTAAACCAATTTGTTGTTGTTAGAAAATTAGCAGTAACTGGTGGCAATTGGTAACCACAGCACCCTGCCCTTCTCTTAGGATGCCCTTTAAGCCACAAACGGGTCACGATAATTTCTTAACTAGCCACAAATATAGTAGCTCATTTGACAAAATACACCCAGGATTTTCTACTAACCAGAAATTTTAGCTTTTTCTAATGTGATTCTTGACGCTTGTGATGCTAACCTGGGGACACTCAGGACCCTCAAGTACTTTCTTTCAAATCATCACATTTAGAAGACTAACTTGTATTTATGACAATATTAAATTTGCCCTACTAGAATCTAATTATTTTAAAAATTAGGAATCATTCATACCTACACTATGTCATTAACCAAAAGCCCCATTTCCAAATCACACTGAACAACAGAGTTTGTCACACACAGACTACATAGAACACCAGAGCCCCAAGGGTCCTTAAAGGTTATCCCCGGAAGGAGACAAATACCTCGTCCAGATGCTGCTACTCCGCCCTCCTATTTCCATGCCAGTAATTAACCACAGCTGTTTTCCACCGAGCTTAGACTTGACCTTCAACAGCACTCTAGGCAACAATCCTCAGCTGCTTGGAAGTGGCTCTTCAGATGAAACTTATTCGCCATCCCATTATTCAGATGAAAAAAACTGAAGCCTAGAAAAGCTAAGTGATCTCCTTGAGGTCACACAGTCTGTTGGTGGTGGTGGTGGAGATTCAAAGTCCCCTCTGCCCCTCGTGGCCTTCTCTGGGACATTGCAGGGTGGACTGAGCCTCTTCTGCCAGTGTTTTCACCCGTTAGAAAAACGGGAATTCCTATTTCCTTTCCCAACAATAAGAGGAGATTAATGGAGCTGGTTAAAATTATCAATTACTTTGCGCCCACTTGGATGGGGCCGTTAGGGTTGGTCTGGAAGCAGTCTCATGGCCCCCGGACAGTGACTCTGTCTTTAAGGTCAGGGTTAACACGTAGAACCGTCAGGAGTCCAGCCCTTCTGAAAAGAGCAATAACCCTGCAATATCCATAAGGCCGTATCTTCAAAACTATATATTCAGGTTCTCACAGAAAGGAGGGTGGGTCGGTTTCTTCAACAAATAAGTTGCAAAGGATAGGAGAACCTATAGATGAAGAGACTTCAGAGAAAAACTCCTCAGTTAATTAGGCTTCAGGAAAATACAAATTAAAATCACAAAGAGATGCCATACTAGACATCCACCAGAATGGCTTTAAAAAGAAAGAAAGAAAAGAACCAAGTGTGGGTGAGGGAGGTACTGGAATTCCTATTTTGTTGGTAAGAGTATAAATTGGTACAACTACTTTGTAAAACTGTCTGGCAGTACGTACCTAACAGGAATGCACTCGTTTGTTTCTGAAAGGTGAGCCCTGCAGTATCCACAGCAGAACTTTGTAATTGCCCAAACCAGAACTATCCCAGTGTCCATTGCTAGTTGAGTGGATAGGTATGGTTTATTCCCATAAGGAACACTGTACAGCAAAATGAATGAACGTACAAGTGCTCACGAATATAATTTGAGAGAAAGGAGCCAGTCACAAAAGAAGACAGATTCTCCCCCAGTTTTACAGTATGTTAGCTGATCTCTTGAAAGTTTTTAGAACAACTCTTAATGACTTGAAATGTAGTCTCTTTTGTGCTTGCATTCACCTTTATTTCCTTTCTCATAACTTTTAGAACAATGCTTGACGTGCTTTCAAGCTCCTATTTCTGGGCCTGGTCGTCTATTATTTGAGGGTGGAGTGCAAAAATACAGATCGCTTTTCTCTGCCCTTCCAGACCAGCCCGCCTGTGCTGCAGCAGGAGAAAGCAGTAATCTCACTTACTTGAAAGTGCCAGATTTTAAAATGATGGTCTATATATATAAAGTGTTGATTGATATGGAATTATTACTATGCATTTGGCAAAAGCCCCACATCCCCACGTGTATCCTATTTCACTTTCTAAAATCTATCCGCAATGTATACTTGATCTATATTGAGACAAAGCCAGTGGTGTTGGGTCCACATCTTGGGCAGTTCACTCAGCAGCTTTTCTATTAACGAAACGTGTGTCCAGCACAGTGGTTTCCCAGCCGAGAAGAGATTGTATATTGATTGTTAGTGCGAGGTGAGTGAGGCATCTTTGTAGTTGGTCCATGTCCAAACCAAAAAAAAAAAAAGTGCCTAATTGGAAATCTGAGACAACATGGGGAAAAAGACCCCGCTGTCCTCGTGGCAGGGGGTTACTTGTGCTTTCTCTACTGTGCTTGCCTTGGGCCACAGTTATGTGGTTCTCCTTGAGCATATCTGGCACTTGCCCCTTCTGGCAGACTTAGGTAGCACATAATGTTTGCCTTGATAAATTAAGTTTTTCGATCCTCTAAACTTGGCTCTTGCTCTCAAAATGTTCCATATCCTATACTTCCAGTCTCACCTAATGGAACTATCAGGAAGCCGCAAACTAGAAACCTGGGGCTCAGCCTCTGGTCCCCTCTCCTCCCCATACACAGTCAGCCTCCCAACACCAGTGGGTTGCACCCGTCACTCGGAAGCGCTTCCACTAACAGCTTTTAGTCTCTTCTCTCCTCCTCGGTCCTCAGTCATCTCACAAGTCCTCAAAAGTCTCCTGGCATGCTCCCTGGAAAGTTTTGTGATTGCCGCTGGATACCTGCCATCTTCTCCAGTTTGATCTGCTTTCACTGTCCATAGGTCATTGCAGCCGAGGGGGAAATGAATGCATCCAGGGCTCTGAAAGAAGCCTCCATGGTCATCACTGAATCTCCTGCGGCCCTGCAGCTCCGGTACCTCCAGACACTGACCACCATTGCTGCTGAGAAAAACTCCACAATTGTCTTCCCTCTGCCCATAGATATGTTGCAAGGCATGATGAAGGCAAACCACTGAGGCCCTCGTTGGTGAGCTCTCCCCTTCCAAGGGTGAAGCAGGGGACCAAATTAGCCTTTAACCCACAAGGAGAGAGTAGGGAGGGGAACTTGACTATTCTCCCTCCCGTCCCTTTTCCATATGTTGAATGTGATGTTCTTAGAAGGTATAGTGATCCAAGCAACTGATAAAGATTGTTACCTTGTAAATTCTGTGTGAGAGAGATTTCTATAATCTCTTACTCTTTAAATATAAAAAAGTTCCTATTTTTAGATCATTATATAATAGTTTAAATCCCCCCTCCCCTTTTTTTGACTTTGTCATTGAACCACTCTACCCTCTCAACCAGGAACCAGGCCAAAGGAAACCACCACCTGACGCCCTTGGCTGGACAGATGCTTTGCCGAAAACAGTGACCTTAGGCTACAACCAGCTTCTCTGGGCCAAGTGTGCCTTACTTCCGGGGAATCTTACTTCACAAAAATTTCCTAACATCTGTTTACTGTAAACCCAAACCATGTTTCAAAATAATCTTTACTTGGGACTAGGCATTTTCTTGTCAGCACTGGAGGAAGGCAAGGTCAATGAAAATGATTACCCTAACTTGGAAGACTTTTAAATCCACTATTATAGAGATTCTTTTAAAACAACGTGGTAGGTCTTATTTTTAACTAGAGTCTCTTTATGAGTCAGTGATTCCTCTGTGGTGTGTTATGCAAATCAGCTAAATACTGGTCACACAAGTGCTTTTTTCTCACTTTTGCCTATTTTCATACAACAGGTTCTAAATAGTTTTGATTTTTTTAAATAAAGCTTTCTGAGTTCTATAAACACTTGTTTTTATAGTCATTTGAATAGCTTAAGAACTAATACTTTTTTAAAAAATATCTTCAGAAGGCCATTATATTTTTCGGTCTGCGTGCTATTAACTATTGTATACTGTGAAATATATTGGTTACAGATCCCATTCATTAAGTAGTATAGAGAACTCACAATATATTATACATACAATCCAATGATCTTGGAAAGATGCTGTCAAACTTAAGAGTATCTATAATAAACAGACGTGGATCTTTTTTATTTGTCTCAATGTCCTTGATGCTGAAAGAGGAAGTGGCCCGCCCTTTCGAGCCACAGTTGCTTCATCTGTGATATTGGGACACCTTCTGTTTCACACATGCCGGTGATCTGAGCACCCTGGAATTCTTCTTAGCAGTCTGGAAAGCTGACTGGTGACACTGACACTTCCTCTTTGTGGCTGGTTCCCCTCAAGAAGTCTAAGAATAGCTGCTTCCTTACCCAGAGCCACTCACTCCCTGTACCCATCATTAGCCGGATTGCTCTTTCAGTCCCGGCTATGAGTGTCCCCTCCCCGACACCCCATTTCCAAGTTTATTTTAGAAAACCTTGCATCACCATGTATCCTAGATCCTGGCTTAGTTTTTTAGATGTATAAGGAGCATTTTGACTTGAAACGCAAGTGGCATTTATAATTTGAAAATGATTTTATCTCTTTTATGAGGAGCTCACCCTTAAGTACTGAGGACCAGAAAACAACCACAAACTCCAGCTGAAAATTTCTTCCCAGACTTAAGAGGAACAATGCTTTCTGTCTCTTGAGTTTTCCTGTCTGCCAATACCAAACAGCCTCTGTTTTTCTGTCTGTGGATTCATAGCCCAGGAATCTGAAATTAAATCGTCTGGGAGGGAGGGAGCCTGAGGGTGTGAGCCTGAGTTTGTTCCACACGGCCTCCCTTCCTAACTCTGTACATAACAGAGTGCACTTCGACCTTCTTTGGGCGAGAGCCTGTTTCTCCCTGCATCCAGTGCACGTGGGTTTTTGTTCTTCAGAAACTCCGGTCCTGGGCTGCCTGCTTTATCACATGCTTTATCACATGCTCTTCAAGGGCCAGAGGAAGAGAAGAGGCTACAGTACTCCGTCTTCCACCTCTTTCTCTGCTGCATCTGCCCACACATTTCCCCCAGAGTCTGAGGTCTCTGAAACTTTGAAGCTTTGGCTGATTTCATGTCCCTTCATCTTAACCCAAGCAAGACAGGACTCACTTCTGCTGTCACCCAGCTAATCACACATGCATACGCTCTACTTTAAAAAGAGAAATAAATTATATAAAATCCGTGGGTGCCACCTGCAACATTCAACCTTTGAAGAACTGTCTTGAATCTATGGCTACCATCTGTGGAGCACCAGGTTCCTGGCTCTGCTCAAATACTTGTACATACCTTCTATCATTTTATCCTCAAAACAGCTTGATGATCATACTTTATTGTCCCCATTTTACCGATGAGGACACTGAAGCTCAACAGTTAAAATATCCAAAGTCACGTGGATGTTAAGGAGCAGAGCTGGGATTAAACGCAGAGCTGTCTAATGCCAAAGACTCCAGGTGTCTGAATGGAGCTCTATGGGACAGTGCCTGCCTTCTCCACCCCGATGTGCGCGCCACCAGCGGCCGTCACTTTACGTGTAGATAACAACTTCGCAAGACTGTGGGTTCATTTGAACTTTAGTTTTAGGCCATCAGACCTAGGCCAAAGTTGATTCCAAGTGAGGGGAGTAGATTGGGAGTTTGTAACCTAACATGTTACAACACACTAGCCTGAGCTGGAGGAAACCCAGGCTTCACGGCTCTGAGCTTACATGGCCCTTTACACCATGCTATGCCTGGGATCGTCACAGCACCAGGGCTTCCCAAGTTTGTTCAGCTGGTAAACGGCGAACCAGTGATTTTCAAACTTCTCTTCAGCAGCAGTGCCCCTCCCTTTTTTTCCCACCAAGGGAAACTGTACAATGGGAAAAGATTTAAAGTGTCTTTTATCAAGAAAAATTCTTAAATTCACACATTTGTTAATGCCAATCAATGAGGCTGTTTTAAAAAACAATAGTCATCAAGGTTATAAAAGACAATTACAGTCAAATTAGGATTACATTCGATTAATATCTCCATTTTGTTTCAAGTGTCTGTGATATTTATTATCACTTTAAAAAGAGAATCAAATATTTGTCAAATCACTGAAGCATCTCATAGGATTCTGCAGTTCCCTGTCTTAGAATCACTGCTCTTGAGTGCTTTCCCCTCTACATCAGACCCCTCTCTGAGCCTTATTTGCTTCACCTGTAAAATGAGAAGTTGGACTCCACCTGTTTGGGTCTCAGATCTTTTGGGAATGTGTGGGAAGCTGTAGAGCACAAATTTGCACACAAATTCAGCGGATGCACTGACCGCCACCACTCTGCCTGCCCGAAGATTTAAGAACAACCAGACAAGGTTATGACTAAGATCTTTTAAAATTTCAGCAGCTCTGGGCTCAGATCAGGCTGGGATTTGCCTAAAGGATTCACACTTGCTGATAGGATAGAGCCCTTTGCAATCCACCCTATAGCCAGAACAGTTTGTAGGAAAAGGAAATTGAAACAGCCGATAAAAGTGAGGTTTTTAGAAAGCTCTAGAAAGTCACCACAATGGAGGCTGGGAATCTTCCCTTGAAGATTCTGGAAGTAACAGGCTGGAAATTAAGCCCTCTGGAAATTACTAGATGCCACAAGACTGCAAGTAACCATTACTATTCATAATTATTTTCAGCATCTGGCCCCCAAAAGGTCTCCAACAGAAACGGCCATCAATCTATGTCTACTTACCCCCTTCCTCCATCCTAGGAAACATGACTGTTTAGGTTCCTCCCCCTTAGAGCTCTCCCTTCAGGGGAAAAGGAATTCAACCCCAGATCCTCAGATGAATCTAATTGGCCCAGGGATAAGTCCCTCCCACTAGCCCATGATGCGTCAGGAATGGTAATGGGACTCCACAGGGGCTCCTGAGACTAGGAAATTTTCCGTGGACCAGGGAACAGTTCCTCCTCTCTTTTCTGGGAAAACTTCTAGAAACAATCCTCTCTTTTCCTCTGGGCATTGCCATGTGTGGGTGTGACAGCCAGACGCCTACAGCTCGTCCACTACCAGTTCGGGAATGGCAGAGCCAAGAGAATTAACAGGGCCCCAGGCAGACCCATTGGTTTTTGTCAACAATGAAGACCACCCACCCCCCAAAGCTTTAAACTATCACGTAGGAGAGCATGCAAGTGTGCTTATGGTTTAATTTGGTTTGAGTTGGTTTCCTATTACAGCCAAAAATAACCTATCTAATCCATGGTCTTTACCTCCATGAATATATTTAGGTCCTGCTGTGGGCTAGGCTCTTTAGTTATACAAAAAAAAAAGGGGGGGGCATTTTTTTTTCTTTCTTTTTTTTCTTCTTTTACCATTTTGGTGCACTTACTATGGACCAGGCATTGTACTAAGCCAAACCTCCCTTACTCATCATCAAAATCTTAGTATGTAAACAATCTCATTCCCATTTTGCAGCTCAGGAAGCTGCCAAGAGTTTAAGTGAGATCACACTGCTGATAAGCGCGGAGCTATAATTGGAACCCAGGCTTGACTCCAAGCACAGCTGTTAACCACTGAGCCACACCTCCTCCAGTTAGGTACTCTTTTAATATATTAGTGCCATTTTGCAGGTGGGGAAATTGAGGATCCTAGAAAATTTCCTATTGTATCTCTAGTGCCTTGCACACTGCCTGGCACAGGGTACACAATAAATGTCTGTTGAACTGAACTGCCCAAAATAGGACACAAGGATCTAAGCCCAGGCCCGTCCCTTGAGAGACACTTCTGTGGCACCTGTCAGGACATTCCACAATTCTCCATTGTGGTCCAAGTGGGAGGTCTCTCAAAAATTGTTAGGAAAAGAAAATACGTGGTTGAAGTGGCTGATTGTGTTCCTGATTCGTTACTTTGACCTTGAGAGAAAGATGTAAAGTCCAAGAAATTCACTTGTTTCTGAAAACTTCCTTTCTCAGAGCATTGCAAAGCTCTCTGCAAGTTGTAGCCACCAATCAACCGAAATCGGCGAATAAACTGCCCTGAATGGCAGTTCATGCAAACAAAAAACACCTGATCAGGCCCACTTAGAACCTGCTCTCCCGAGGGCTTCCAGGATGTGTGCTGACTTGTCTAGACAGGCCTAGACAAGCCTCCTCCAGCTTCCAGTGAAGGCCCCAGAAGCTCTAGGTGCTAAATGCTGTTTTTCTTCCAGAATTTTGCATTTGTTAAGTTGATCTCTTTGACCAGGAAAGCAACCTTTTGGGGCTGGTAAGGCAGGCAGGCATTACAAGATCAAGTCCAAACCCCTTCACATGGCATTCGCGGCCCTTCACAATCTCTCAGCTCTGAGGCCTGGCGCTCCCGACCTCCTGCGCCAACCATGCCAGTCTGCTGTCTGTCCCTGAGGGTGACATCCTCCCTCACAGTCCCTTGCCTTTGTGTTTGCAGCACACGCCTGAGGTGACTTTCCCCGCCTGGAAAATTCCTTCTCCACCCCCCTCTCGAAGAATCTCTGCAGGTAGGGCCCTGGGGGAATCTGTGCTTTTAAAAATCTGCCTGGGCAATTTGGGTGATCGGACAGCTTTGAAAACAACAGTACAAATACATGCACCGCCTTCCCACCACATAAACCCTCACATTGGTTTTTCATAACTTGGATGGGGATGGGATGGGGGAGTGGCATGGGATGAAATGGGAAAACGTGGTGAGAAAAAGACTAGAAGGATAGAGGGGAGGGAATGGGGCCTGGCCTCCCGCAGTTCCTTGGATGAGTTTGAAACCTCCATGGAGAAAAGGTGTAGAGGCACAAGTCCATGGAAATGTCTAAGAGGGACCTCGTGACAATCAAGCACAAGCAGAGTCAGGGCCCAGGGGACCAAGTGGGGCACAGAAAAGTCCCTCTCCCAAACCCCAAAGGCTGCACATTTTGGGAGCCTCTAGGGACACCTCCCGTGAGAGCAGATATTTCTCCAAAGAGCCTCAGGGGCAACAGAATGACTCGGGGACCAGCGGGAGCCGCGAAGGTCTGGGCAGGCGTTACGGGGAATGGCTCCCACGAGAACCCACCTTGCCAGCTTTCTCCTCCAGAAAAGGAGCCCCAGCTGCTGGCTTTGAATTCCATGCCCACATGTGCTCCAAGGCCACACCTCGCAATGACTGAGTGTGCTGGGGAGATGGGACACACCAC